CCCGCGGCCCGCATCGAGGAGGAGGCGGCGGAGTCCGAGGACGAGGCCCCGGAGCCCTGAAGTCCTGCTTGCCGGCCTCCCTCCTCCCACCGCCCACCTTCCGGCCCGTGCCTGGTCCTGCCCGCCAGCTCTACTAGTGCAGCCTTGCTGTGTGCCTTGAAAGCCAGAGGAGAATCTAGGGACCGGCCTTCAAAGAGAACGTGGTGAGAGGGGCCGGAGCCAGGGCTGGGCGTGTGTCCACTTTGGCGGGAAAAAAGGCAGGATGGGTTGCTTGGGGAGGAGAAGCCAGAAGAAGAAATGAGGCCTGGCACGAGGACTGGAATTCAGGTGCACTCAGATGAGTCCTGGACCACAGCCCGTGGTTCTCAAACTTGAGGGAGCATCAGCATCACCGAAGGCATTGTCCAAGCATGCTTGCTGGGCACCACTCCCAGCGTTTCCGATGCATTCGATTTGAGGTGGCGCCCACAAATTTGTGTTTCTAACAAGTTTCCAGGTGATGCTATGCTGCTGGTCCAGAATCAGAATTTGAGAGTCATGCATTTAAAAATGTGGAAAGGCTATACCTTACCCTGATAACGACTCTCAGAAGAGGGGTCAGTGTGTCTGCTGGGGGACTTTTCCTTTATCTGTAATGTTCAAGTTTTTGTTTACAGTGAGAATATATTCACTTACTACTTGTGCAGTTAGAGTTTTTTTTCCCCTGAGTTAGAGTCTCACTCCATTGTACGGGCTGGAGTGCAGTGCACACACATGGCCACTCCAGTGTCAACCTGGTGGGCTCAGGCAAGCCTTCCACCTCAGCCTTCCAAGTAGCCGAAACTACAGTCGCGTGCTACCACGCCTGGCTAATTTTTTGACTTAATTGTAGAGATGAGGTCTTGCCAAGTTTGCCAGGCTGTTTTCGAACTTGTGGGCTCAGGCAATCCTCTCATCTCGGCCTCCCGAAGTGCTGGGATTACAGGCTTGAGCCACCACACCCAGCCAGAATTGTTTATAGTTGAATTGGCATGCATACAGTAGATGAAGATGAAGGAAGCTTTTGGGAATCTGCCCTGGAGATTGGTTAAGCTCAGATCACCCACCCTTGACCGTCAGCATTGGGACTTTGGTGTGCCAAGTCCTTTTCCACTCCCACCAACTACACAGTGGAGAAAGGACAGTTTAAGGGAGGATGCTCTCATCCTTCTCCATGAGGGTCTGCAGTGCTGGAGCACTCAGTTGAGGAGGGTAAGAAAGGGGCCTTGTGGAAACAGCCCCACGGACCCTAGGTTGGAGTTGTAAAACAGCTCCTCTAAGACTCCTTCCTCCTAAGCTTCAGCCTCCACCAAAATAAACTGGTGAATGCCAAAACATGAAGAACAAATGACAGTCAGGCTCGGTGGCTCAGCCTGCAATCCCACGCCTCTGGGAGGCTGAGGTGAGTGGATTGCCTGAGCCTGCGGGTTCAAGACCCGCCCGGGCAACTTGGCGAGACCTCATCTCTACAGTAAATCAAAAATGAGCCGGGCGTGGTAGCGTGCACCTGTAGTTCCAGCTACTTGGAAGGCTGAGGCGGAAGGATCGCTGGAGCTCAGCAGGTCGAGGCTGCGGTGGCCGGAAGCAGCCACTGCACTCCAGTCTGG